CAGAGAGAATGAGAGACAGAGAGCATGAGAGGGAGGAGGGTCAGAGGGAGAAGCAGACTCCCTGCCGAGCAGGGAGCTCGATGCGGGACTCGATCCCGGGACTCCAGGATCATGACCTGAGCCGAAGGCAGTCGCTTAACCAACTGAGCCACCCAGGCGCCCGAGTGAGGAGTTTCTGCAACATGTTGTCACGATAGGGTGAGATAAGACAAATCTGTCTGGTCCTTTCATGTAGCGAGTGGCTCTGAGCTCCCTGTGGTTTTGTATTAAGCTGTACCAGCTTCCAGAAAAGAGGCTGTAGGAAAATCAGGCACCATTCCCCTTCCCCTCCCAAGTATAAACTTGGTCTCTGTGGCCTTTTTCTTCCACCTCAAATTGCTATATTTATACTTAAAAAACACCTCTGCACTTTAAAAAATTATTTTCCCGGATGTTTTATTATGGAAATTTTCAAATAATCAGAAAAGTTTGAAGAGATGTACATTGAATCTTCAGAGACCGCCTCCTAGATTCTATAATTAATACGTTACTCTATTTGCTTTACCATATCTCTCTACCCATCCCCTCTATCCATCCATCAATCATCACATTTTGTGTGTGTTTCCAAGTAAGTTTCAGACATGAGTACACTTCGCCCCTGAGCGTTCCAGCAGATCATTAATTAGAGTTCAATATTTGTTTAAGATTTTTCTATTTTAGGTAAAATTTACTTACAGTGACATGCCCAGATCTCAAATGGAACATTTTCTGAGTTTTGGCAATGTATACACCCATGTAACCCACATCCCTGTCAAGATAGAGAATTTACCAGGGTGCCGGGGGGGCTCAGTCGGTTAAGCATCTGACTCCTGATTTCGGCTCAGGTCATGATCTCAGGGTTGTGAGATCAAGCCCTGCACCTGCCTGGGCTCCATGCTTAAGATTCTGTTGCTCCCTCGCTCTCTGCCCCTCCCCCCAGCTCTCCCTCTCTCTCTCAAAGGAAAAAAAAAGAATTTACCATCACCCCAGAAAGTTCCCTTGTGCCCTTTTTCAGTCAAGCCCCCTACCTGCCCCAAGGATTCCCTGGTTCTGATTTTTTTCACCATAGATCACTTTTGTCTATTTTAGCACTTTATTTTTAAATTTTTATTTATTTATTTGTTTGTTTGGTTTTTGGTGGGGAGGGGCAGCAAGAGAGGGAGAGAGAGAATCTCAAGCAGACTCCACACCCACTGTAGAGTCCGACGTGGGGCTCGATCTCAAGACCCTGAGATCAGGAGTCAGATGCTGAGCCACCCAGGCACCCCTGTTTTAGCACTTTATACAGATGGAATCATACAGTGCATATGCTCTGTGTCTGGCTTCTTTCTCTCAGCATAATGCATTTGAAATTTATCTCAGCATAATGCATTTGAAATTTATGTTGTAGCTTGTTATTGGTGTTCGTGCCTTTTTATTTCTGAGGACTATTACTTTGTGCAGATGAGTATTTCTGAGACCAGTTTGTTTATCCATTCTCCTATTGGTAGATGCCCAGGTTGTTGGCAGGTTTTGGTTACTGCGAATGAAACCGCTATGAAATTCTGGTATCTTTCTTTTTATAGATAGTCTACTACCTTTATTTGTAAGTATTATGTATATCAGCCTTTGTCATGTGTTCCAAAAAAAAATTTTTTTAATTTGTCATTTATCTTTTGACTTTCATGGTGTGTTTTTCTTTTTTTCTTTTTTTTTTTTTTAAAGATTTTATTTATTTATTCATGAGAGACAGAGAGAGAGAGAGGCAGAGGGAGAAGCAGGCTCCCAAGGAGCAGGGGGCCTGATGTGGGACTCGATCCCAGGACCCTGGGATCATGACCTGAGCCGAAGGCAGACGCTTAACCATCTGAGCCACCCAGGCGCCCCCATGGTGTGTTTTTCTGTATGCAAGTTTCTATATTTTATGTGGGCAATTTCATCAGTCTTTTCCTTTATGGATTCTGGGTTTCATGTCATGATTGGAGAAGCTTGATCTACTCTATATTGTAAAAATATCCACCCTTGTTTTCTTATAGTGCCTTTATGGGTTCTTTTTTCTATGATAACCTTTGAATCATCTGAATTTATCTTGATGTCAGGAGTGAGGTAGAGGATCCAGATTTACTGTTCAAATGTCTAGTCAATTTTTCCAACACCATGTGTTGAGTCTCCCTTACTGATTTGAAATGCTACCTTCTTCATTGTCTTAATTCCCATGTATGTTTCTATTTCCTTTCTGCTGGCTCTTCTGTCTTGTCCTGTGTCAAGGGCCACATTGAGAGAGAGAGAGAGAGACAGAGAAATAATTATATACCGTTGACCCATGAACAACACTGGGGTTAGGGGGGCCAACCCCCTGTGCAGTTGGAAAACCCACGTATAGTTTTTGACTCCCCCAAAACCTAAGTACTAACAGCCTACTACTGACTGAAAGCCTTACTGATAACGTCAAGTCTGTTAACACATATTTTGTGCGTCATATGTATTCTATACTGTATTCTTACCATAAAGTAGGCTAGAGAAAAGAAAATGGTATCAAGAAAATCATAAGCAAGAGAGCATATATTTACAAGACTGTACTGTATTTATTGGGGAAAAAAATCTACATATGAGAGGACCCACACAGTTCAAACCTGTGTTGTTCGAGTCAAATGTGTAGAGAATGTTTAATTTTATGCGTCTCCTTGACTGGGCCATGGGGTCCCCGGATTAAGCCTTGTTTCTGGGTGTGTCTGTGAGGGAGGGTGTTTCTGGATGAGATCAACATTTGAATCAGTGGACTCAGGAAGCAGATGGCCCTCCCCAACGTGGGTGGGCATCTTCCAATCTGGTGAGGACCTGAATAGAACAAAAGACAGAGGAAGGTGGAATTAGCCCCTTTCCCTGCCCCACTCCTTGAGCTGGGACATACCATCTTCTCCTGACTTCAGACTGGGATTTACACAAATGGCTCCCCTGTTCTTAGGCCTCAGGCTCAGACTGAACTGGAGCCCTGGTTGTCCTGGGTCTCCAGCTCGCCGAGGGCAGGCTGTGGGACTTCTCATGCTGGGGGAACAGGGAAGGGCCCGAGATCAGAGGGAAAGGACGGCTCGGGGGCAGTGAGACCATGCTCCGGTGGGGTGGCAGGACTTGCTCAGGGACCCCTCAACACTGCTGTCCATGCAGGCTCAGCCTCGAGGCCGTGGCTGGCAGGGGTGGGCAGTGAGCCCTCCAGGTGGAAGATGCAACCAGTCCAGTGGGCTGAGCTCAGCTTTTCTTTGGGGGCTCAGCCAGCCAGCAGAGTGGGGACAGCTGTGGACCCCGGAGCCCTCTGGAAGGCTGAGGAGGCCTGACTGGGAGGGCTGGGTTGGGGGATCTACAGGCATTCAGCCCCCCACCGGCTGGCTACGAGCAGCAGTCACTGGGCAGGTGGGTCCAACACAGAATCAGGAAGGGCACCTGGCCCCACCCCTGACGCCCCTGGGCCCATTGGAGACAGGGGACTGGAGAGCTGGGCCTGAGTGCCCTGGCACGGCCCTGAGGTGAAGCTGGGGCCTGCTCGGAGCCTGGCACCCTGGGGCACTTGAGGGAACACTGGGAGCCCCAGTGAGGATGGCTCCTGGGGAGGTGCTGCCTGCGAGGGGCAGGGGGAAGAGGGGCAAAGACTGTAACAGGGAGTGAGGCCTGGAGCGCAGTGACACCTGGGAGGGACGCTCCGCGAGCAGGAGGGGCGAGTGTGGAGCCCGCGGGCCAAGGGCGGGGCTTTTGAGGAACGACTGTGCCCACCACCCCTCTGGTCCCAAGGCTGCCCATCTTTGCTCTTAGTCACAGCCATTGAGAATGGGGGGGGGGCATCCTCTTGGAGCGTTTTAGGCTCTATTGGACAGGACAGGATGCCTCGGTGTACGCGCCTCCCTCAGCCCCCCAAGCGTGCCGTTGTGGTGGACCATTTCGTACGTCCAGGAATGAGGATATCGGCTCTCCCAGGCGGTTAGGGGCACGAATGTGATGTATTCAGTTTGTACTGCAAGCGATGCCAACCGGCGCTTCGGCTCCGCTCGTCTAGCACAGGGCAGGGGCCGCCCAACTAGCTTCCCCGCTACTTTTGGGGACGTGCGCTCCCATGGGAGAGGCACGCTCCCGGCCATCCTGTTGGGGCCCCTTCCGAATGAGGCCCGACCATAAGCCGAATCCATGTTAAGCTCTGTGGCAGCCACTTTGTTGCTGTGGGGAAGGCCCGAGTGTGGAGTCACAGGCAGTTGGAATCGGAAACAACCCGCAGCCAACCCCCTTGCTGCAAAGGCCGGCGGGGAGGAGGGCGGAGGGGACCGGACGGGGCCGGACGGGGGCGGGGCGGGGGGCGGGGAGCTGGTGGGGACTGAAGGGGCCGTGCCGACTCTAGGGGGCGGGGCTCCGGAAGGGGTGGAGCTCGACGGGGGCGGAGCTCGACGGGGGAGGGACGCGGGGCCAAGTGCCGCGGTAACTCCCCTTCCACTGCGGTCCCGGTGAACGGGGTTGGGTTGAGCCTAGGCTTTGGGAGAGGAGGTGGAGGGGAGGCGGCAAATCCCTCCTCTCCCCGGCCGTCTTTGCGAAGTGGCAGGACTTCACCCTCCCGTGCAGCCGACGTGCGGCCTGCCTCAGCGCCCCCCCTCTCCCGCGCCCTGTATGGGGGTCCCTTACATGGGAGGAATACGGATCTTTAATTGGGTCTGTTACCCCCTCAGTGGAAAGAGGCTGGGGTACAGAGAGTCTGGACTGGCGGTGCAAGTCGCCCCTTGCCCCCTGCCGCCAGTGCAGTTACTTCAGCGGCCTCTTTCCTTCTCGGTGAAATGAAGGCCTGGGGTTAAAAAAAAAAAAAAAAAATGACGTGCTTCACAAAAGTCTTACCCTCAGCGCTCGGTGCAGCATCTTCCCGCTGCACAAGACACCGAGCAGCCTCTCGAAAGAACCAAAGACACCAGTAGGCTTAGCTGACACGGGTGCGTCGGTAACGGATGCTCCCTTGACAAATAAAAACATAGAGGCACTTTTCTCCTGGCTCTTTATTACAGTACAAAGAAAAAACGCACTGGCTGGAAACAGACGCCAGATTTCAAATGTAGAGGCGAAGGAGGAGGTGGCAATTAAAACGTGATTACACAAGTCTGGGCACTGAGGAAAAGTTTACAGGACAGTGGGTGTGGGTTTCCTATAACAGACACTTAAATATACATGACGATAATTGCAGATAAAAACCATCAAAGACAAACCCCGTCAACCATTAATGTTTACAGACTACCCCCCCGCCCCAACCACAGACCTTACAAGAAAACAAATACTGAAAGGCTTTAAACCAGGAACCTCTCACCTCCGCCCTGCAAGGTGCCACTGGGGAAGTGGGAGCCTGGGGGTTTCTCTGAATGAGAAAGAGAGGACACTCTGGATCCTCAGGGTGGACAGCACGGCCAGTGTGCAGCTCACAGGCCCTCTCTACACCCCTCCCAAAGCCTCAGAACTCTTAACCTCCTGGCAAATTTCCCCTGCAGGGCACTTGTAAAGCTTGCTGTAATATGCACATCAGTGAAGGGCCAGCGGAGACAGGTTTGCAAGAGTTTAAGAATCACACAAGACAATAGCATTTTTAGTGAAAATGGCAATAAATGGCCAAGGGGTTTCTATTTGGCGTTTGTCAGTTTGTACAATGCCTCTTGGTCACATCCACATCTCTCACTGCATCAAAACCGTAAGCGACTCCACTACCTGGCTTCTAAGGTAGCACTGGAGCTTCACACGGGAGCGCCGGAGCAACGAACACAGCCTGCCTATTTGCGACAATGTATAATAAACACAAACAATGCATAATAAACACAACTCTACTGAAACAAAAGCCGTCACTTTATTTACAAAGTCACAAAATGAAGTATAAATACTTCTGTCATTAACGTTTAGGAAAACCATTTACAAAATTTTCAAATATGTACAGGTAGCTTGAAAAATCACCAGCTTTCCATTTTGTCACAGGTAGAGAGAGGGATGAGCACAGGCGGATGCCACTCAGGTTGTGGGGAGGAAACAACTGGGTGGCTGTGTGGCGGGCGGTGGGTTGGCCATGGCTCCACGCCACTGCCTAAAGTGGTGAGGGCGTGGGGGTTTCTACGGGCACTTAAAGCCCCCCAGCACTCTGGGGGGCGGGGGCGGCGGCAGCGTGCTCTTCCAGAATGTCATCGATGAGCCTCAGGTTGCACACCCAGCCCTCCTCTGGGCTCCCACCAGGGCCTTTCAAGGGGGCTTCAGAGAAGCCCACCTCACTGCAGTCAGGGGCTGAGAGCAGACCGTTTAGTGGGGGCGGGGCCGGGGACAAAAAGTCGTAGGGTGGCAGCTCAGGGGGGGTACCCGTTCTGCCGAATGGACCTGGGGACTGGCTGGCGGTGACGGCAGAGGCGGCGGCGGCGGCCACAGAGCTTGGCGGCTCGATGCCCTGTATGGGACTCACGGGACCAAAGCTGGCCATGCCCTGCTGGAGGGACTTGGCGGCGTTCAGCATGGGCACGGGACCCCGCACCGGGCTCTGCTTGAGGCTCTGGTTGCCCAGCAGGCCGAAGCTGGGGTTGACCGGAGCAACACTCACCTTCTGGCCAGGCCTGCCTCCTGGGGCCACCTGATTGGGGGGCACAACTGCCTGCTGCGATGGACATGTCGGGGCTACCAGGGGAGCTCTGGCGGGCTCCTTGGTGAAGATCGAGTCGCTATCAAAGTGCGGCTGGGTGCTACGGTCTACGTGGCTCGGGGGGGACTCCCTCGAGACCGCTGTGGTCCCAGCTGCCGCCGCGGCCACCGCCCACACGGCATCGTTGAACACTGAGGGCATTCTTGGCACACAGGGCTGTCTGAGCTGGTGGGGACTCGGGAGCTGGCTGCCCAGGGGTCTGGGACAGAACCTAGGCAGGGGCGCTCCTGAGGGGGCCGCCTTGGGAATCTGCGGACGATGGCTGCCCAGGGGGTTCTGGCCCAGGCACGAGGGTATGGGGAACGGGGGGTTACAGTGGGGAATTCCTTGTTGCTTGCCCGGAGTCGGCGAGGCCATGCCCATGCCCTCGCGGCTCTGGTGCCTGGTGGGTGGGATCATTGCTGGATTCGGATTGTTCTGAAGGAGCCCAGCTCTGGGGGGCATCATGGGTTGACTGGATGGGGGGCTTGCCTTGGTCTGGCTACACTTAGAGGTGACTTGTTCTTGGACGGCTACAGAAAGAGAGAAGTGGGAGGTCAGTGCCACAGTCATCCTCAACCTGGGCTGCATCGGCTGGCAGGCGACCCCTGACACAGCACCAACCTCTTGCCTTCTGCCCTTGGCTCCCCAGCTCTTCTCAACCCCCCATCTTCCGCCACCCTCAGCCGACTGCAGTTCTTCTGGGAAGCCCTCCCAGACTCCCCGGGTTCTTGCTCCCACAACACACGCACCAAGAGAAGGTCACATCGGACTGAAAATGCCAGCTTATCGGTCTATTTTTTCAGGTAGATGGTAGGCTCCACAAGGCCAGGGTCTGGGTCTGTTTTTATGTTCAGCACTCTGTACGAAGGCCCGGCACTGAGCACGCCTTGACAGAGGGCCACTCCTTGCCACTGGCCTTCCTGGACCTTGTCTGTCCTGTCACTGCAGCTGAAGCATGCCTGCCATGCCACTCCGGACATTCAGCTGGTGCCACACCTAAAGGAACGGGGGTTCTTGCAGGAGAATGGAGGTGGCACTGGGCTAAAATGAAGATGCTGACCACGTGCTGGAGGGCAAGCAGCCTCCCCCAGCCCCAGGTTAAGAGTCCTCTTGGCCTGGCCCAATGTCACTCCACTGGCTCGTAGGGATTGTTTAATACTCATCTCCCGGCTAGTCTGGAAGCTCCACGAAGTGGGGACCATGCCTGACATTTTTGTTAACTGCTGTATCCCCGGCCAATAAACGTGGATTACATCCGTAGCTGCCATGGTAGGGTGGGGACCCCTGCTATCTGTGGAGGCTCCGGGAGCCCCCGCCACAGACCCCAACCCCTGCTCCACTACCCACGCCTGAGAGATGGCTCAGGAACACTGAGAATGGAAAGTCACTCCAGCAGTGGCTGGGGTGGTGGGGAGGACAGGATCAGAACCCTGAAGGTGTGCCTTTCTCCTTTTGAGAATAACTGCTTTAAGGGGCCTGACTCAATTTAATTAATCTCTTGAATTAAGTTCTGATTTTAGAGTCATTAAAAGCTGGCTTTCGATCGGGATCCTGCCGAAGCTTTCAATGTGGGGTCGATCCACCCTGCGTGCTATTTAACTGAGTTGCAGACCTCCCTTCCCTCCCTTAGCGCTTTCAGAAACACTGACAGTGACTGCTTACTCTGGAGTGAGTTCTCACCCCTCACCCCCCTACCCCCCACCCCCCACCCCCCACCCCCCACCCCCCGCCTGCCCCTTGGCGAACAATGACCTTAACTGCTTACCTTGAAATTGACTCATCTGTTGGGCAATATACGCACTCCGCTGTTCAGGGGTCATTGCCGTAAGACCTGATCTCTGCTTCTCTCGCTAAACAGAAGATGAGAAAGACATGTTAGACAGGGGCTACCAAGAAAATTAGCCTTGGGATTGCTGTGTGGGGGCCCAGGACTTGGCTTTGGTGTAGCAGAAAGCATGAGTGAACACATCAACACACACTTGCATGCATGCCCCGCCCTCCCGAGCAAAATTCCACAGGTATAAACAAAAGTAGGATTCTGCACCTGGGTTAAAAAATCAACTGCGACAGCATAGGATGGGGCAGGAGAGACAGAGCTTAACAGCAAGAGCACACAGAGAAAAGGTTCAGGCATTTTGGATGTCCTTCTGCTCAGGATGGGTCAGCAGTGAAATGTGGCCACCAAAAGAGCAAATGTAACATTAGGCTGCATTAATAGAAGCAGAGTATGTCGAAGGAGGGAGGTGACAGTCCTGCACTCCTCTGCCTTGGCCAGACCATGTCTACAGTGCTGACAAGAGTCTGGGCGTGCCAGTCTCAGGGAGACCCAGAAGGACTGGCTGCACTGCGAGGACACTAACTGGTAGGGGTAGGGCTCGGACCCGGAACTGTGCAGACCACGAATGGCTGAGCAAACCAGGGATGCCGTGGATGGGGCAGAGCAGACTCTGGGCTATGTGGCAGTGGGTACCCAGACTCTGCAGGGCTGTCATGGGGAAAGGGCCCAGGCTTGTTCTGGGTGGTCCTGGCACGAACGGCAGGATGATCACACGGTCAGATAAATGCATTGTCTGCCACCCAGCATAGCCACTCGCTGCCAACTTCCTTTCATTCTCCTGCCTGGCTGGAGCATGGGCAACTGGGACGAGCTTCCTGTCTCCATTACAGGGGCAGCTGGTGGGCTGGGGGAGGAGCCAAGCTTCAGGGCCGCAGGCCCAGCACGGAGTCTGGGAGTGGCTCAAGGAGACAGCCAGCAGAGAACCAGACGAGGGCCCCGCAGGCACGACTTGCCCTGAGACCCTCAGCCATTCGGTGTCAGGTTGTGAGTGGGACCCAGGTCTGACTCCCAGTGCAGTGCTCACCCACTGCCATCTCTCTCCCCTTCTCAGGAAGCCTGCTCGATAGGGTGCTGACAACCAAGGCAGCTTCGTCAGGGAGGATCCCCCCACCTTAGTCCACTTGTTGAGCTGCATCCCCCCCAGATGCCAGAGGACTTGACCTATAACACGGGCTGCCTGGTAGGACCTGCATTTCTGCCCTCAGTGGGGCTGGTGTGGGCTGGGCCGGTGGAGGGCTGGTGCCTGGGGAGAATGCTGGGCTCCCAGGCCTGCCAAGGCAGAGGACCGAACCCAAGGCACGGGGCAGGCAGACGACACCAGAAGCCATTTCACTGTCCTATCCTTAGCCTGCTTCCTATCTGGGCCCTTGCTCCCCTCCACTGGGGCCACGCCTCGGGCGGCCCATGGAGCTGCCCTTTTCCTGCTAGAACCTGGGGGGCCCGGGGCCAGCCCACCCGTGCTCACTGTCCTGAACGGCCTGCTCTCATTCTTTCACATCCTCCCCAAGGTCCGCCCTGCTATGTCATTCCAGTTAGGGATCTGGCCACTGCGGAGCATGGGGGTCACATGACCGCCCAAGACAGGAAGTGGGGCTTGGAAGCTAGCCTCTGCCTGCAACACTGGGGGCAGCCCTTTCACTTCTGTTCTTCCCTTGGACCCTTATGCCAGCCCTCAGAGATCTGGGCAGAAGATCTACGGCCCCAGCTTACCGATGTGACATCTGAGGCTCGGAGAGGTTAAATGACACAGCTAGGAAGTGCAATGTCTCCCAACTGCAGACCCAGTGCTCAGGCCTCTCTAGCCTCTTCAGCCCACTGCTTCTGGGGACCAGCTGCTTCTGGGGACTGGTTCCTGTGGCTGGCTGGGTCAACATCAACCCTAAATCCGTCCCCACCGTCTGCTCCATCAGTTTCCTCAAACACCGAAGCTGTACAAGGGTAGGGGGGTCGGGGCAGGTGGAGGCTACAGAGCACAACCAAAGAAAAAGTAGGGGAAGGGCGGAAGAGTCCAAAGGGAAGGCGGTAGAGAGGACAGACACCCCAAGGGCACAGGAAATAAAAGAGAAGGCTGGGCTGGAGCAGGGGTCAAAGGGCGGAGGAACTGGGTGGTGGTGGCCAGATGAAAGAGAGCGCTTCTCAAACAGTCTAGAGTTACAGGGACCAGGGGATGTTGGCTGGTGTTCATCCAAGGGAACACAGTAACCGGAGCTTCCCGAGTTTCAGGGAAACTCTGGGCAGCGGGATGGCTACAGAAACTCCCCGGTTCAAATGGCACGTTGACACCGGGCCCGCGGGGCTGGGCCTCCGGCATCCTGGGACACCGCCATCAAGCAGGAGTCTCTTCACTAGGCTGGCGCGTCCAGAGGCCCCGCAGCCCCCTGCTCCGGGCCTGGTCCTGTTGGCCCGGGCAGAGGAGGCCTCCCCAGGAGGCTGCTTCCTTTGTTTTGCAGACAGCGGCCCCCATCCTTTGTTCTGCATCAATGTGCTCCAGAGATAAGCCCCAAGAAAACAGTTGTTGCCTTTTGACACTGACAATCAGAATCGTTGGAAAATGGAGAAAACAGGAAATGACAAATGTTTTCAGTGACCAGGAGGAAGTGATGGCTAAAAGTTGCTGCTTGGTGACGGACACTTGTGAAGGATGGCTCAGGCAGCCTGTGGCTCTGCCTAAGCATGGTTATGGAGCAGATCATCGAATGAGACAGTTTTCTAGGGCTGCAGTTGTCCTGGTGCTCTTGTGCCAGGTGACACCGACCGGGCAGCGTCAGGGGAGGGCTGTGTGAGCCCAGGTGTCCTTCCCCCACGGTGGTCACTGTGCTGGGCCTGGGCCATCAGGAAGTCTCCCAGAGAACTAGGGCCCCGGTTCTTCCCTGTCACCCCCCGTCCCGGTCCCGCTTGGCCAAGGTGCCACATTCACAGACAGGTCTCAGGCAGGACAGGCAATCCTGGAAGTTCTGGGACCGCCTTTCTAGAAGCTTCGTGCTGATGCCCAGGAAGCTGCAAAGCCCTCACCCAACTCTGGGGGCTCATGGAAGGGCTAGTGCTTCATCTGTGTGTGCTAGGCCAGAGAGAGAGGGCTAAGAGGCTGGCCTGGACCCCACCACTGCCCCCCGACTCAGCTGAGCCTCACACAGCAGCCCCCACTAGCAGGCCGGCCGGAAGCTGCGTCAGCTTCTTCCTTCAGCCACCTCCTGTAAGCCTGGATGCTTCCTCTCCACTGCGGGGGAAGAAGGGTCTCCTCACAGATTTAGCCACTTAATCAGGCAGAGGAGGTTGGGGAGAGGCAGAAGGGCAGATGACCAGCAGGATTCACACCCAGAGGCCTGCAAAGGGTTACGGGATGTCGGCCAGATTCAGACTGAAGTTATCCCCCCCCATGGCCCCCAGGAGGAGAGCATTCTGACTCAGAAGGGGATTCCAAAGGAATAGCTCCTGGGGGATGGCAGGGAGTGGATTCAAGCTTTGTGCAACACACTGAGGGTGGGGCGGGGGGAAGGAGAGCGGGAAGTGGGGGGATCTTTTTCTACCTTTAGGTAACTAGGCTTCCTTTCCAAGCAGACCTGCCTGCCCCTGAGTATCCCCACAGGGAGCCAGCCTGCCACATAGCAGAAGACACTCAGCTATCTTAAAGGTTCAAAGGTTAACGAGCTCTACTGTGCATTTTGTTTGTTTATTACTCCACTAGGAAAAGCACCTTCTTTTGTAGTTTCTGGAAGCCAGATTTGGAAACAACTCACCCACCTTTCTGACTTATCCTTTGAAATGACAGGGAAGACAGCATTCTTGCTGGAGAGCATGAAATCAAGATTGGAATTCTTGGGGCTCTTACACCCATGGGGATGGGGACGCCTGAGACCCATGGGCTCTGGCTCCCCGGTAGCCTATGGATGAAGGGAATACAGACACCTCCATCGGGAGCCCTGTTGGGGGGGGCGGTGCTGATGCTCTTGGGCTCCGATTCTTCACCAGTATCCTTTGGAAACCATAGGGGCTTCCTACAGTGAACGCCAGGCGAGGTTCCTTGTTTCCTGGTCCCCCCTAACTCTCAGTGCCCATGATGCGGTTTCTCCAGAAGGCCTCCAGAATAATGGGATTGAGAGTGCCATCAAGCCACTTCTCCTCTCCGTCGACCGCTGAGGCCAAGATCTGGCCCTCTTGCGTTGCCTCTGCTCAGTGTCCTTCCTGGCCCAGAGTGCACCCAGTGAGCGGTGGGCCTCCGTGGCTCTGGAGCCCTGGGAATGAACGTGCTCAGATACCAGATGGGAAGATGGGGTTTGCTTAGCAGCCTGGTAAGTCCCTCTGTCAATCAGCGGACACACATTTCTTGGGGGATAGCGCTGGGCTTCTCATTCTTGCGGAGCTTATAATGGAGGGGGAAGCTGACAAGATACAAGTAAATTAATCAAAGAAGGTCACTTCAGATGGTGACACATCTCCTAAAGAAAATTAGGGCAGAGTGAAGGGCTCAAGAGCGGGTGGGCAAGGCAGAAACCCTGAGGGTGTTCTGCTGGCGTCTTTCTGGGCCCCTCCGGGACCCTGGCGTAGGGGCCCTGGGGCCTTGCCCACTGAGAGGCTGGGGCTCTGGGGTCTGGACCAGTCTGAGGCTGACTAGGGGCTTCACAAAATCAGTGTCATCACCAGCAAAAAGCAGAGAGCTGTAGGTCAGCTGTTTTACTCTCCAGTTTCTGTCTTTCTACTTGATCTCCAACTGTGTGAACTCTATTCTGATTCCTCCTCTGTCTCGGTTTCAGGGCGGCCTGGTCCCGGAAGGGCTTGGTCTAAATGCTGGGAATGATCCCGGGGCAGAGGAGCCAAACATGTTTGCAGCTCGCCTTTCTTCTTCGCCTGCGGTGCCTGTGTCCTCCGTCTCACACTGAGTCCGGCCTTCCTGAGTCACCGGCTGAGCTGGTGCGACAGCCCGTCCCTCAAAGCCCCCGTGGAGCGCCCAACTTCCAAAGCTTCTTAGGAAAGGTTTGAGGGCCGAGCATCTGCCTGGCCCCCCTCCCCTGCTGG